AGATGCCTGTAAGCATAAATGGTCTCAATCCTTGACATCTGCAACACCTTCAGAAGCTAACTGAAACCTTGCTTCAGCTTCAGCCAGGCAGGGAGAGCTTATTACTTTACAGATCCGCTCCTCCCCTCGTCCTTTGCGAAGAGCAAGCCTGGTAGAGACATCACTAACATTTTAAGGAAGGGCACAGATAGGAATAGAACCAACATTGGGGGCTTGAATATAGATAACTAGTTATTATGATGAACTGGCGGAACAATGCACCTTGTGGTCGAAGCATGAGCCATGATGTTTCCACCAATGGGCTTGAACTGTGGTCCAGCAAACATAGCAGATCCATCCACTTGTGCTACTACTTGATTGGTGATAACCACAGCTACTCCAAACTGCAGTGACCAATAAAATCAACTTAAGCAAATTGAACAACCATGATTGATATCCAATAGTGTAAACAGAACTTTCTTTTGAAAGAAAGCTAAGACATAGCAATAAAGGTAAAAGGCTACAATTTTCTCAATGACAAAAAATAAAGAATGCTAACTTATAACTGACCTCATCAGCTAACTTCTGAAGGCTCCTCAGGAACTTAGCCATGTGCATTTGCCTCGCTGATAGCTCCCCTCTTCCTGAGAAATCAGTTCTGTACAGAGCTGTGGCACTGTCTACAACCATGAGAGCAAACCTGCAAATGTAGAGATTCAGAACAACAGCTAGTTCTGCTATTATTAGTCATATGGAAACCATGAGATTCATAATAAGCATATACTGAAAACAGGCATCAGCTATATAGTCATATGGATATGTCCAAGAATGCAGAAAAAAAGCATTTGCAAGCAGAGTTAATGAAAAACACTTCAACATAGTAGCAGTTGCAGTTGCAGCAACAAAAATTATCTGGTTTCTGTATTGGCTGATGTGATAAAATTGTGAGGCAGCATTATCATGCTAGTGACCTCTGCATTGGTATATACAGCCTAACCATAGTATGCACTTAATTATCTGTATGTCCTGCATGGTTTGATATGCTAAATATACACCAACTGTCTAACTATATTATATTATGACTAGTTAGCTGGCATGAAGAGCAATGTATCATGAATAGGTTTGGGACATTCTTATTCAATGCACATAGACTGAAAACTCACAATACGACAGCTGTAAATAATAGTGATTAGTGAAGTTCAGGCGCATGCATATTTTAATGTCACATGGAACCGATGTGGCTACAAAGGATCAATACATTTTATTCGTAAGCAGAAAGATAACCAAAACAAATTTAACTTATTTACCTAGTGCACAACTGATGCTCGCCTATCTATAGTAAGTAAATCATGCTTATATTTGTTATGTGCTCAAACTAACAGACAGTTCACACGTAGTAGATTCAAAACTTGCCTGGTCTCTATCATCATGGAAGCTGCCTCCAGCAGAAGTCTAGACTGATGATCCGTATTATAAGCTCTGGCATAAGCCACATTCTCTAACACATCAGCACCATTCAGCCCAAACCTAGATTCCAGCATGCGCATGATTAGCAATCAAAGTTATGTTATAATCCAAAATAATAAGTGCGGCTAAGGTATAACCTGTCAGCAATCTGCAGGAGCCTTTGTGGTCTGAATGTACCCTCTGCGTCAATATATAGAGCCTTTCCTTCACCACCACCCTGGTCCAGTGGAAGCTGCAATATAAATGGTTTACATATTTGAGACCAACAGAACAATTAAGGAATGAAATGGAAAAAGGTGTGGATAGATAAAAAAAGTCACCTGACATGTAACACAAAGGGTGTGACACAATTGAGTCTTTCCAGAGCGAAACTCACCATATATCTCAGTGATAGATCCTGTTTCTATCCCACCTGTTGCAGGTATGTCATAACAGAATGCTTAATCAGTAATCACGGTGACTTGCTATAGTACACGAAACTAATATCATGGAATATGCAAGCTCATTACCCTCCAAGATCTTATCAAGCTCTCTTGATCCAGTTGTAACTTGAATAATCTCCAGCCGCTGCGCATGAAGTTGACTGGCACTTGTAAATCCCAGTGGAACTATCTTGGATGCTGCAAAAAGTTTGCAGACAGTTATGAGTTCGATAGTGTGCAATACAACGTCCACACAACATAGCCTCAATACAGTTTCAATACATATACAGTCCCATATTACTTGCCTGCTTCAATTATCTTGTCAACTTTAGCTTCACTTATCCCTTTGATCTGCACAAGATCTTTCCTTGGAGTGTAAGCCACAGCCTCTACAGTGTGGAGACCAGAATCTTTCAGCTTCTTCACATCCAATGCAGCTATTCCAGAAGCCTAGACCACAAATTTAATGTTAACAGAGCAACAAACCTTTTTTATGTTTCAAGAAACTAGTTACAGTTAGTCAGCTACCTAAATGGCACTTAAACAAGGGACTAAAAATAAATTGCAAAATGCAATCATAAGATCCTTTGCTAATGTATATTGAGCTACAATTGAAGAAAGCTATGTACTTGAGCAATAAGCTACAATTGTGCCATATGTTAGTTAAAAGGCCTATATAGTTCAGGCAACAAATTCCTCATTTTCAGGAGTTTGTACATGGAAAAACTGACTCATCTGAAATGATGTAGGCACAGGAAAATCAACTAACAGAAGAAGATACAGGATGGTGACTTCATGCTTCATTTTTGAAGCAGATTTCAGAAGAAAATACCCATGTCCCATGAATCCACTCGAGAGCCTAGTTATGATTCCAATTGAAAGCACGTCATCTCAGTACATCAATGAATCTAATAAACGTTGACACTGTTTACTACTGCAAATTGTGCAATCCGTGGTAGAAACTAGAAAGGACCAAACAAACCCAGGAAAACCCCAACATAAGTGGACTGCAACTGCAAGCCACCAAAAGTTCCAAGAAAGACTCCCAGTTCACACCCTGAATGAAGAGGCAGAGGCTAGGGTTCCATTTCCAGAAGTTTGTTTCGGATCCAGCAGCAAACAAATCGAAACCCCAATAAACGTTCAAGCTTGACCGCCATTCATTGTGAAGTGGCGAATAATCAAGAACCTAGTTTTTCGCAACCCAGCGGAGACAATGTCAATTCAATCACGCATGAACTGGCAACTCCAGAATCTCTCGCAATCTTGCCGGCATTAACGGGAAAAACGCGGCAACAGCTGGGGAAAACCAATACCAAATTGCCAATTCATCCGCGCATGGACCGGAACATCCAAGAAACGATTGCCCTTGGCTCCACGAAGGGAGTAACAAACGATTCAAGAACCTCCCATTTCTTCGGCCAAGAACCCAGCGCCCCACCCAAAGAACCCGAAACCCGCGACGAAATCCACCTCCATTACCTCCTCACACGGAGATAGAGCCTCAAGAAAGCCTCAACTCCCGGAGAAGCCACCCATTCCAGCGCGAGGGGAACAAGAACCGGACCCAAGAAGCCGGCTAGGGTTAGAGCGGGAGGCGAGGGGAGCCGGGTCCGTACCTGGAGCTGCTCGATGGGGAATGGCCCGTGTTCCACCTCCTCCTGCTCCGCTCCCGCCGCCGAGGTCGACGCCGCCGCCTTCTGCTGCTGAGCCGCCGCCGACATGGCCTTCTCCTTCTCTCACCTCTGCCCGTTTGTTCGGAGATCTCGTTTGTTCGAAGCGAATTGGAGAGCGGCAAAGGAAAACGAGACGGGAATTGGCCTTCTCCTTCTCTCACCTTCTGCTTGCTATTTGGTTGGGCAAAAATGGGTACCAATCAGGCCCTTATTGGACTGGAGATCCTATCGGCGGACGTCGCCTGCGGCCCGCAGATGGCCAACCAGTGGGCAAAAGCGGCCTGCGTTTAAGCCCAGTAAACGAGATGGGCTGGACCCCGATCCAGTTTTTCTTTTAGTTGTTTTTGTCGGAAAAAGTCCACGTTACCTCCCTCAACTTTCGTGAAAATCCGCTTTTTCTCCTGGACTCCAAAACCAGCCAAAACACCTCCCTCAACTTTTAAAACCATTCATCTTACCTCCCTGGCCCTGTTATAAGTAGTTTTCAAGGTGGTTTTCTCTTTTTCTTTTTTATTTATTTCGGCTGAATCTTTGAAAAAACATAGTAAATTACAGAAAAAATCAATTTTGTTGGACTCCACATGAGTAGATATACACAATGAACATATAATATGGTATGCTTTAGTACACAGTTTTTGTTGTGGCTTTAGTTCTATGCTTTATGTAATTAATTGAAATAATTCATAGTTGCAGTTCTATAATTCAATTGTGATGAATTTTTTGTGGTGGGCTAATTATTGTATAATTGAACTGTAGTAAAATTTTCATATTCATTGGGTCAACATAAACCTAAATAAAATCTATAACTAAGCTATACATGATTGAATGAGTATAAAATTTTTACTACAGTTCAATCATACAATAATTATCCTACCACAATAAATTTATCACAATTAGACCATAGAACTGCAGCTATGAATTATTCTAATTAATTACATAAAACATAGATGTAAAGCCACAGTAAAAACTTTGTACTAAAGCATACCATATTATATGTTCACTGTATATATTTACTCATGTGGAGTCAAAAAAAATAGATTTTCCATTTTATGATTTTTTTTTATGTGATTTACTATGATTTTTTAAAGATTTAGCCGGAATAAATAAAAAAGATAAAAATAAAACCGCTTTTAACAGCGACAGGGTAAGATGAACGGTTTTAAAAGTTAAGTGATGTAGGGGGGCCCAGTTTTTTGCGAAAATTGAGAAGGATAACGTGGACTTTTTATTTACCGCTGGGTCCGCTACTCGAGGCCCACCATACCCAGCCCCGCTCGCCTCCTCCTCCTGCCGTCCCGTTTCTCCCACGCGGCGAGAAACAACGAACACCAATGGGCAATGGTTGAGGAGCTCCCGCACGCGCGCCCGTTGCGTTGCTTCTCCGTCTCCCCGATTCCTCCTTCCCCGGTCTCGGCTGTCGTCTCTCCACACACCATCGTGCGCGCGGCGCGGCGGTATGGCTTGCGCGGCTCCTCCCGGCCCCCTCCCCGCTCGCCGCAGCGCCACGGCGGCCCGCGTGGTCTTCGCCGTGGGGCCCCACCCGCCGCGATTCTACGGGCGTTTTAAACCCTCCACGGGAGGCGCGGCACGCTCCAGCCTGCGCGTCGTGGCGTCTAGCTCCAAGGCGGACCCAGTAGAGGAGAGACCCCCAGTCGCGTCGCTCGCGGACGTTCCAGTCTCGTCCGACGCGTCCTCGCCGGTGGAGCCTCAGCCCCAAGTAAGCACCGGGTAGGCACCGCCGCGCCTGACGTGACGTCTGGGGTCCGATTGCGGTTTCATTGTTTTGGATATCGCGACTTGTGTTGCTTATCGTTGATTGCTGCCTTTCTTCGTCTGCATGCAGCACATGGAAATGGAGGGGCTACAACATTCGCTACCAGTACGCTGGGACATCAGGCCCTGCATTGGTTCTAATTCACGGGTTCGGGGCAAACAGGTGTGCGTCATACACTGATAACCCGTGTTTGAGTGTTTCTGTTCCATATCTGTCTCTAAATTTGCAAGCAACTGCATTTCTTAATAGCAAATGTTCCTTAGCTGTTGGTACACTTTTCGTTGGTGGACTGCTAAGGTATGCAGAAATGCATTTAAAAAGAAAAGGTATGCAGAAATGTACAATGGGCCGGGGAAAGTAGCCCATTAACTTAGTAGGTAGTTGAGAACTTTTATTAATTTGATAATGCAGCTTTAAGAGAAGATATCTTTACCTATTACATCGAAAATTTTCTGATTATTTTGCTTCAAAGTTACTCTGTACCCATATGAGACTAAAGTAACGCTAGGCCTTTACTATCCACACATATGTCTCTCTGAAAATTATCAGCTACCTTTGCTTTGCAGTGGTCTACATATTCCTTTTTTTCAGTTTCAGTGACCTTTGGCGGAAAAATATTCCTGTTCTAGCCGTGGCACACAGGGTATATGCGATAGATCTAATTGGTTATGGCTATTCTGATAAGCCTAATCCACGTGAGATCAGAGAGAACTTTTATACTTTTGAGACATGGGGAGAACAGCTGAATACATTCTGTGCTGAAGTGGTCCAGAGTGAAGCTTTCTTCATATGCAATTCAATTGGAGGTATGCCAGATGCACAAATGATTTGGCACCTATTGCCAAAGCTGCACAGTTATGCTGTTACTCCAAATATATTCAACTATTTCTTTTTTACAAAGGAGTTATATGGTTTGTTTTATGTACTTACCCTCTTTATCTTTTCGATTTCAAAAGGTTATTAACAACATCCAGTGATTATATTCGAATCATATATAGGACCCACCAGTCACCATGGTGAGGTCCAGATCTTTTTTGTCAGAATTTCTAGCATGTTCCTCTTTTATTGCACCTTTATTGTCATTATCTTTTGTCATAGATTACATTAACCATTTTATAATACATTTGAGGTACTGATGTGGCAGTCTTAGCATAGCGATGTTGGTTACTTGGTACAATCTGTTGAAAGTCACCTTTCCAGTATTGAAATGCTGGATGCCCCAGCTTGGTGTTCTTATTTTATTTGTTACTGAAAGCCCCTTTACTGAAATGGGTAAATTCGTGAATCTGATTAATTAGACTGATCTCGTGATTATTTGATATATGATTTTAGTATCTTAAATCTTTGTGCTGTGCTTCCTATCATGTAGGGGTTGTTGGTCTGCAGGCAGCTGTTATGGAACCTAAAAAATGTAAAGGAATTGTTTTATTGGATATTTCATTAAGGATGCTTCATAGCAAAAAGCAACCATGGTTTGCAAAGCCTTTCATCAAATCTTTTCAAAGTCTCCTAAGGTAACTTGCTTTTTTTTACTCCCATCACAGTATCTTGGTGCTAGGTAGTTGCTTGTTATAATGCATTTACTGGTTTCTAGGAACACTGTTGTTGGGAAGCTATTTTTTAATGCTGTCGCTACACCAGAATCTGTGAAAAATATTCTTTGCCAGGTATTTTCTCTCTATCATCTCATATTGTAAAAATATATTCAGAGGATATATGTAATATTATGCCATGCAATACTATGGCGAGAAGTTCCAAATTTTTCATTAAAAAATACTGTTACATTCAATCTTATGTTGACATACTTGTCTGAAGAAACTATATGTGTTACAAAACATTGCACTAGTATATTGGGACCAATAGCTTGGGCTTGTAGAGCTGAAAGCTACCATTAGCTTAAGCTTAAACGTTTAGTTTATGAGTCGGAGTTTTTCAGTTTATAAATTTAACCCTTCTATTATGTGGTGAAGCCATGTGCCAACTTACAGGTGTGTATGATAGGTCCACAAGCCCAAGCTCTCAGAGAAGGGCCCTATTGTTTTTCTACAACAATAATGGTAAATTAGATGTTTAGAAAAGCTACCTTATCTTAATATTCCCTGAGGCTGTGAGAGGATCACATGCTCATATCTCATATGTAACTGCGGAAAAAGCAAAAACAAGGTTTTACTTAGGATACAAATCGATGCCTCACCTACTATCTGAAGTAAATGGAAGTCATCTTGACATTTTGCTGCTCAATATTTTCTTTGGGGATAGATGTGCCCTGTACAACGGCTTAAGACAGTGTGCTGAAGAGAAACTCCAATCTAGAACTTAATTGCACCAAATTTCAGTCCAACTACTGAATTTCAGGCCCCATATAGAATGGAAACAAGACAATTTATGACTCACTATTTCCCCTCGAGAACAGTGGAAAATAATGTTCCTCAACACTTCATTGTAGCATAACTTTCTTTATTTATTTTCTGGCTTGCACTACAATAAATACATTATTGTTAGTCTGCTTGCAAGATAATATGTTGTGATGTGTTGAGTCAGATATGTGAGGACATGCGAATGGGCCTGTGGTCCAATGGTAGGGCTGTCCACTGGGACGCTACCCACTAGGGTTCAAACCCTGGTGATCGCACATTTTTCTGGATTTTTTCTAGAATTTTCAGGGTACACGCACGCGTGCGCGTTCGGTGGTACTGCGTGTGTCGGTGTTTTGTAAACCGGACTAGTAAACTTATATGATTGTCGCGCTGCTCTAGGAAGACGATGGTAGCATCCAAAAGACACGAGAATTTATACTGGTTCAGGCCGGAGCCCTACGTTCAGTCTCAGAGATGACCGAGTGCATGTTCCTCGCTTGAATGCTCTGAAGTTCTTATAATGGGGGGTGCAAGAATGGTGGAAGAGGAAGAAGAGCTAAAGCTAGGAGATGGGCTGCCCGGAGGGAAGCTCCAGGAGCCTTGCTACGATGGAGAATGAGTAAAAATGGTAAAGGATATGGAGAATGAGTAAAAATGGTAGAGGATGTGAATGTGTCGAGATGGGTGCCCTGGCTGCCCTTATAAAGAGTTCGGGGCCAAGGGCGCATACAAAGGAGGAGGTTCTCCCGACCGAAGGGTCGTGAGCCTAAGGGAGGGCCTAGCTAACTTGGCTTGCAATCTACGTCGTCTTGAGGTACACGTTCGGGCGTGGTTGTCGTCATGGTCTTGTGGCCACGTCGCGGTATGGTGTGGCGTGGCGCTACTGTACCGGCCGTGGCAGCACTGTAGGCACGCTGGTGGTTCACCAGCCGTCCTGTGCGACGTGGTCTCCGCCGTGGTCTTCGTCATCGTCTCCTGGTTCCCCGGGGCGTCGTACAGGAGTTGGTAGCCGCCCCTAGGTCGTCGATATCTGGTTGGCTTGAGGAGCTGAGGGCCACGATCCCAGTCGTTGGGGTCGTGGCTTCGCCGATCTAGATGGCCTCTAAATCAAGGCTCTCGTTGTGGATCCCATCTTGTACTGGGTGGAGTCGTATCTTCGTCTTGTCGGACCGTATCTAGACGGTGGGCTCCGTACCGGTCGTCACCGCCGTGCGGTGTTGTCTTGTCTGTGCAGTGTGGCACGGGGATGGCATCTGGCCGGACTGAGGTGAATGTTGTCCCCTCGGTCCTTGCGGGGTCAGTGTGACGTGCTTGTTCTTATCAGAGCAGGCACGCTTGGCTAGGCCTGACCTCTCCCCGTTCCCTCCGGGGGTCGTGACCGGGGAGAGATCGTGCGCCTTTCGAGTGCCGTGCGGCTATGGCAGGAGGAAGGGGTCGTGGCTGACCCCGGCCTTAGCGTCCAGCCTGGTTCGCTTGGCTTAGTTGGGCCTCGGTCGCTCGGGCCTTCGCTAGCTGAGATATTGCGGGCCGCGTGGCCTGCTGACTAATCGATGCCTTGAGACACCCTGGGGTTATGACCCCGACAGCGCGTTTCCCGCGCACTGGAGGCGACGCCTCGGTGTGAGTGTGGAGTGTGTGGGTTGTGTGCGTCAAGTTGTACCCGATAAAAAAAAAGACATGTGAGGACATACTCGCATACATGTTGTAGTGGATATTTTTCTATATGCATCAAATTGTGTAAACCGTAAAGCAGTTTCAAATCTTACGCTTTTTGTTTACCCACTTCAAAAATCCATTGTACAATAAAGTGTTGTCGAATGAGTTTATTGCCCACCTTTCCTCATTGTGCTTAGACCTTTGACTGAACTATTTGGTGAATACTGGATACTATTTAATAGTTTATATTATATCCTGGATGCAACAATTTAAATAAAAGTTATAACACACTTCTATCCGACATCTTAAGCTTAAGGGAGCCTACAAGTGAGTGGGAGCGTTGAAGTATGAGTGCATTGTGCATGTTTCCTCTGTACCATAATTGGTTGAACTGGTCACTGTGCAACTCAATAAGAAATAATCATATCCAACCGAGGAACTCTTTATAGGTAGTTATACCTTAAAAAAACTCGACCCGCGGGGGGTATGACAGCCCTCGAGCATTCTGTTTAAGATAGAAGGTAACCTTCTCATGCAGGTCGAGAAAATCCCCGAACCCCATCCCCACCTATACACAGCGGCACAGTTGCCCATGTGAGAATCTGGGCCGGTCTTTAGACTTGTGCTTTGGCGTGGGACAGATGAGAGAATTTTTTTAAGCCCAATCCTAGCCTTCGCTCCGACGGGGAGTCGAACCCAGGACCTAAGGAGTTCTACTAGAGCCAACTAACCAACTCGGCTAGGCACCCGTTCGCGTAGTTATACCTTTGGATTGCATACACTTCAACTTTTATGATTTTCTGGTTCTAACTAAACTTTCTGCAGTGCTATCATGACACATCTGCAGTGACACATGAGCTAGTTCAGATTATTCTACAGCCTGGGCTTGATCCTGGAGCAGTGGATGTATTCCTTGAGTTCATCTGCTACTCTGGAGGACCTCTACCTGAAGAGTTACTTCCGTTGGTCAAGGTTCGGATGATCTTAGTTGTGTGATTAATAGTTCGTTTTGATTTTGGAAATTATGTATGGGTTTCTTTTGTTTTGTGCAGTGTCCAGTTTTGGTAGCATGGGGGGAGAAGGACCCATGGGAGCCTGTTGAGCTTGGAAGAGCCTATGCATCTTTTGATACAGTTGAAGATTTTGTTGTCTTGCCAGATGTTGGACACTGCCCTCAGGTCCTCTCTGTAATAGATTAATTTATTCAGCTACTGTATTATCTACTGCAATCTGTCTAGTGTTTTGTACTTTTGCATCTGGAGTCTGCTGTTTTATTTGTTTGTGTTTGTCTTGCAGGATGAAACACCTGAGCTTGTAAATCCACTTGTCGAATCATTTGTCCAGCGCCATACTTAGCACATGGGTGAGCATCTTTCTATGTTTATGTGTGCCCTTTCCCAGTAGGGCCTCAATTTGATGGAAAATGGGAATGCACGGTTAACGAATGAGTCCTGTCAGGCTATGGTGAGTGCTTCCACTGCTAAACTGTCAACAAAAGACATGTTTGCCTGAAACTGACAGCAAACTATTTTTGGAGGACTAAGTTTTGCCCTTCTGCTCTGCAGTACTTGCATCTGAGAGCCGAGGGCAAACATCATTTGACACATTATAATTCAGGTATAAGAAATCATGAAGAAATATATGATTTATTGCAGCAAAAGAAGAACACGTATTCTCAGAGCAGAGAGGTTAGTACCAGGAGCATAGTGGTTCTTTCTAGTTGAAGTTCCTACATGTATATTTGTCTTTGTTTCCTTAGAATTCTTATAACTGAGCCTGCACGATTTGTATAGAGAGAACATTTAATTTGGACACTCAACACTGGAAGCATCTATTTCAGTAATAATACATAGAGGAAAGAGAGACGAAACTTGAACACAACTGTTCCTATTTTTTGGTAGCATAAAGGCTCCACCTTGTATTCTTGGTTTTGATTATGAATGCATTTTCATGAATTTCCCTTTAATATGTCAACTTCTACCGTGAAGACTGAAGACTTCGCTTATGATACTTTTGATGCTTGTGGAAATCCAGTTTTGCATGCTAGTGTGGTTAATATTCCAAATGCATCCAAATGTGATGTTTACTAATTCCATATGCATACGCACTTCCCTTAGGCATGAGTAACCTATACTTAAACAAAAAAAAAACAAAAACAAAAAAAACTGTAGCAAGTACAACGAAGTCTGGATCACACCCTGTATCGGGCAGACCAGCTGTACTACCAGAATAATATATGTGCTCGTCTGAATGATTACACTTAGAAATGGTCCATAAAGACTACATGAAAACAAAATTTTGCAAGTCGCCTCTTGTCCACGTCCGACACGGAAATTTGTCCTGGACCACTCCAAGCTGATGTGACTTCCAGCAGCGCAAAAAAATGGATATTCTCCTTGAATAGTTGCATATTCTTTACAAGTTCTCCGTTCTAATTCCGGCTAACTAAAAACTGCACGCGATTCTCGTTCTATTATGAGTCTGAACTCTGACACTTGCATAATCCCATTGGAGGAAGGGAGCCTTGCAAGTCGCCTGTGTGATTGTGTGAATGATCTTTGTTACTCTGCATCATCATCATCGGAATCTTTCAACCGCTCTCTCCGTTTTGTTTAGCCATGCCGCGTTGTTCATGTGAAATAAACAAACTACGAGCATCTAATCAGAACGCATGTCCGGCCTTACCTGCTCTGACTGACCTAATAACCAGAAAACAACGCAGCCCGAGGCGCGTCGTAGCTGGCCTTTGCTTTGTCGCACGTTTTCCTCCCAATGATGCAGTGTGCCGAAGCGCGCGCGACGCTGCCACGAGCAAATAGATAAACCTGCCAGTCCGTCCGTGTGTCCATGCCGGCCTTTGGCTCCAGCTAAGCTAACAAACGGTGAGCACACAAGTCCAAGCCGTCACGGAAGACGCTAAACAAACAAGGCCACGACGTGTGTATCTCGTGGGAGTTGAGGTGATGGAAGCGCGCGCCAATGGATGGCAATGCAAAACAATGGATTAGATCCATGTCGTCAATCAAAAACATACTCCTATATATGGATGAGCCGTGAAGCCGAGGAAGACGCATTTAAAGGCACGGGCAGTGAAGTCGTCGCCAAACAAAAGCTAGGCCACAGCCTCGGCGAGCACTGATCGAGAGAGAGCGAGCGAGATCGAGGTTTCTTGCAAGTAACCGCCGGTTCCTTGCAACGGGCAGCAGGGGTGGCAGACAAGCCAACCCGCCGGGGCTCTGTGCGGCTGGATTTGCATATAAGATTGACGACTAGTGTCGCCGAAGTATCCCATACATTGTCACTTGTCGGGAGAGGAGTCGAGAGCTGAGACGGCGAGCTGCCTCCTGCTCTATATCATCAGCTTCGTTCTGTGGCTCTGAGCTGAGCTGCCAAGGATACATCTGCTCTACACCGCCTTCTGTGGCTCTGAGCTGAGCTGCCAAGGATACATACGTCTTGCATCTGCGGGTTGCCTTCTTCTCCGGTCGACCTCGTCGGGGTTATGCGGAGGAGAAGGTCGTGCTTGTCCTGCGTGCCTATGGGGACGACGGCGCTGCCCATTGAGGAGCACTTCGTTCCTCCGGCTGGGCTACCGTCGGTGCCCGCGTCAGGTACATCATGTTGATAAGCTCATAGAATACTTGCATTCATGTTTCCCCGAGACATTCGGTGCACGAATGGTACTTAATCTGCTAGTTTGAGTCTATCAGTAATAGCTAGTGCTCCTTTTCAACTTGTTTGTGAGTTTGTCCAATCACTGATGGGGTTGTTTTCCTTGTACGGAGGCTCTTTTAGTGGCCTTTCGTTTCTAATGTGAAGGACGGACACTTAGTTTGCCTGCAATCACGTCAAAGAACATGCTTTGCTAGATTCATTAACTAAATGGTCCTCCTTTAGTTTGATCCTTTGTCTGCAACTATTTTTGAAACGTAACAAGATAAACATAGATTCTTAGTCATCTGTGATCAAATGAGAACAATCTAGGATACGCTCCAGCTTCTGAAGGCAGCAGATACTGACCCTTCATCGACTCAAAGTTGATTTGAAGTTATGCTTGTCTCTATTCAGAACAGGCAGAGTAGCAAGGCTCAAGAAGCATTTTATTCTTGTGGTTATGAAATTTTCCCAGTTTCCTCGATTTTAATGCTGCATATTATTTATTGGTGTTGAAAATGATTGAAAAGCAACGTGCCAGTCATCTGAATATTAGACACTACCATGAAAAAAGATATTGACTATCACACTAGTTTGAAATTTAGCTTAGGTTTTGTCCGCGCTGAATTTTTTTTTTTTTAGCTCACCGGTGGCACTGGCACCACTGTTTCAGTTTCAGAAGATGGAGGATTTGACAAGGGCAGCATAGACCTTGGAGGCCTAGAGGTGCGCCAAGTCACCACATTTGCCAAGGTCTGGTCCACCACGCAAGGCGGCCAAGACGGCCTCGGCGCCACCTTCTTCAAACCCTCGCCGGTCCCCGCCGGCTTCTCCGTGCTCGGCCACTACGCGCAGCCCAACAACCGGTCACTCTTCGGTCATGTCCTCGTCGGCCGGGACACGTCTGGCACCGGTGCACTCCTCGTCGCGCCAGTGGACTACGCCCTCGTCTGGTCCAGCCCGGACGGCGCCGGCCACTTCTGGCTCCCCACGGCGCCCGAAGGCTACAAGGCCGTCGGCGTGGTGGTCACGGCCGCGGCGGACAGGCCTTCACCCGACGAAGTCAGGTGCGTCCGCGCCGACTTCACCGACGCGTGCGAGACCGAGGACTCGGTGTTGAGCAGCGACAAGGATGGCTTCAGCGCGGCCACCCTGAAGCCGGCGGTCCGTGGCATCGACGCCCGTGGCGTGCACGCTGGCACGTTCCTCGCTCAGAGCAGCGCGACGCCGGCGGGCGCGTCGACGACGCTGGCGTGTCTGAAGAACAACAGCGCGAGCTACACGTCCTCCATGCCTGACCTGGCCCAGGTGAACTCCCTCCTCGCGGCCTACGCGCCGCACGTGTACCTGCACCCGAACGAGCCCTACCTCCCTTCGTCGGTGACGTGGTTCTTCGAGAACGGCGCGCTGCTGTACCAGAAGGGCAGCCAGACCCCGACGCCGGTGGCCGCCGACGGGTCCAACCTCCCGCAGGGCGGTGGCAACGACGGCGGGTACTGGCTCGACCTGCCGGTGGACGGTAACCAGAGAGAGAACGTCAAGAAGGGAGACCTCGCCGGCGCGAAGGTGTACGTGCAGGCGAAACCGATGCTCGGCGGGACGGTGACCGACCTCGCTGTGTGGATCTTCTTCCCGTTCAACGGGCCGGCGCGCGCCAAGGTCGGCCTCATCCCGTCGATCCCGCTCGGCAAGATCGGCGAGCACGTCGGCGACTGGGAGCACGTGACGCTGCGCGTGAGCAACTTCTCCGGCGAGCTGCTCCGGATGTACTTCTCGCAGCACAGCGCGGGCACCTGGGTGGACGCGTCGCGGCTGGAGTACCTCGACGGGGACGGCGGGAACAGGCCGGTGGCGTACGCGTCGCAGCACGGGCACGCGTTCTACCCGAACGCGGGGACGGTGCTGCAGGGAAACACGAGCCTGGGCATCGGGATCCGGAACGACTGCGCCAGGGGGAGCAGGCTGGACACCGGCGCCGGGCGGTGCGAAGTGGTGTCGGCGGAGTACCTCGGCGTCAAGGAGCCGGCGTGGCTCGGCTTCGAGCGCGAGTGGGGGCCGCGGGAGGAGTACGACATCGGGCGCGAGATCAACCGCGCCGCGAGGATCCTGCCGCGTTCGGTGAGGGAGCGGCTAGCCAAGCTGGTGGAGAAGGTGCTCGTCGGGGAGGGGCCGACGGGGCCCAAGATGCACGGTAACTGGAGAAACGACGAGAGGGAAGCTTGATAACGCTTAGTATACGGATGAGGCGGTTCGCGTTGGACGACAGCAGATTAAGGATTGCCTGCTGATTAGAGGAGGTAAAAGGATTGGTTGTGTTCATATATACGCAGTGTATTTCGATCTCAGCTGTATGTATTCGATGATCTGTAGCATTGTTTGGTTTGCGGTTTATTGCTTTTATACGACCATTGAGATCTTCATTTGTAAGCACGAACTTCACAATTTCAACAAAAGTGTAATGTACCGTGGGTTTTTAAATTTTCTCTACATTCTCATTTTTTAACTTTTTTCTACATTTTTATCTAGTATCATGAACTCTCAAAGTGATCATCTAGGTTCTTCAATTTTTCAAGTCATTCTAATAAGCTAATGTTAGGTCCAATTATGGATCTGGATTCACACTCTCTCTATGTCTTTTTCAAAAAGCAACCAGTAAGAATGGTACCGGGTCGAAGCTAAGATATATTTTCTAAAGGTGTGTTTGGATTCCACCATCTAAAGTTTAGATAAAGTCTCGTGGTCTAAAGTAATGTCTAAAACTTTAGCTAACTCCCCTAAAACACATTAGACCATTAGATCATAAAAGTGAGTTAAAGTGGTCTAAAATTTTAGTTGTTCTAGTAAAAACAATTCTACCCCAACACTTCGTCTCTTTTCGAAGGCCGTAGACATCTCAGCGTAACGTCTTTTAGATAATAGACTGGGGGTGGCTAGCGTCCGGATGACCGGAAGGAGGCCACGTCCAGAAGCCCGTGCAGCCCGCCTCCATCCAATTCGCACGAGCACCCCCACCCTCGACGCTGCGCTCGCTACTCCTCGCCTCCCGATGGACTGCCGCACAGCCCGCTGTAGGGTCGAGATGGCGAACTAGAGGGGGGGGTGAATAGTCATTTCTAAAATAAATCGCGTCGGCTAACCGAAACAAGTACGAAATTAAAACTATCGGTCTATCCAAGACTACGCCCCTCTATCTATGTTCTCTAGCACCTTCCAAAGATACTAATTAAGCAACAAAGGTGTCGAGCTAGTTAGAGCTCACCTAACCAATTCTAGAAGCAAGGTCACATAAACTTATGCCACTAGTGCTTTAAACAACAAGGGAGCTCCTACACATGCTAGTAAGCAAAAGCACAAAGCCACCTAATGCTCACTAGCAATGCTCAATAACAAGGCAACTAATGTCAAATTAGAGAGCGCAATCACTTAGCTACACAAACTAAGCAATATGACTAACAAGGTCACACAAACCAAATTAGCCACGCAAGGGAGCTACTTCTATGCTACACAAGCAAGAAGGTAACTAGTAAGCTACACAAGCTAACTAATTACAAGAGCAACTACACAACCACAATGTATACAAAAGTAATTACAAGCTTGTGTAACGAGGATGCAAACCAACGGGAAGAACAAGGTTGACACGGTGATTTTTCTCCCGAGGTTCACGTGTTTGCCAACACGCTAGTCCCCGTTGTGTCGACCGCTCACTTGGTGGTTCGGCGGCTAATTGGCATCACCCGCCAAGCCCGCATGTCGGGCACCGCAAGAACCTACCCCGAAAGTGAGGGTAGCTCAATGACACGCTCAACTAGAGTTGCTCTTCGCAGCTCCCGTGGGGCGAGCACAATGCCCCTCACAAAGCTCTTCTCTGGAGCACCGCCCAAGCTTCTTGCGGGCTTCGATGGAGACCACCACCAAGCCGTCTAGGAGGTGGAAACCTCCAAGAGTAACAAGCACCATCGGCTTGCAACTCGATCACCTAGTGCCACTCGATGCAACCTCACGATGCAATCGCACTAGAATCGCTTTCTCACACAATCGGATGATCACTATCAAGTAGATGTGAGATGGAGGGCTCCCAAGCACTACTACACAAGCCACCAAGGCTCTAGTGTGCTCAGCTTTAGGCCCAAGGCCAACCATGGCTTCTATTTATAACCCCATGAACAAATAGAGCCGTTACCCCTTCACTGGGCAAAAGTCAGGACGACCGGACACTCCAATCCGATCGACCGGACGCTGGACCTCAGCGTCCGGTCACACGATACTCGCCACGTGTCCCCTCCTTCAAACGATGTTCATCCGATCTCAACAGTCATCTGACGACCGGACGCAGTAGCTTCAACTGACCAGACGCTGAGCCTCCAGCGTCTGGTCGTTTCCAGTAAGGTTCCAGAAACGACATTTCACGACCGGGCACGTCCGGTCGATCGTGATCGAATGCAGCACCAGTGTCCGGTCACTCTCCAGCTTCTGCTCTGCCTGCGTCACCATACATTAGTTCTGACTGGACGCAGGACCCCAACGTCCGGTCACTACGTAACCAGCGTCCGGTCCAATCTGTGAGACCCTGTCTTTTCTGTCTAGGGCGACGGTGCACGGACTGTCCGCACTCTATGGGCAGACACTCCGCCGGTGAAGTTCCTAACCCTTCTCGCCTCCATTTCGTCGTCGAGTTGATCCACATCAACTCCAACTCCATCTCCTTTGTAATTGTGCCAACACCACCAAGTGTACATCACCATGTGTATGTGTGTTAGCATTTTCACAATCATTTCCCAAAGGATGTTAGCCACTCATCTTGCCACACCACTCGATCCTAGCGATGATGCAAAGTTAGATCACTCGAGTGGCACTAGATGATCGATATGCAAACAAGTTTGCTCATCTTGATAGTACGGCCATCTATCCTAAATCCGGTTATAAACTTCTCTACACACCTATGACCGGTGAAATGAAATGCCCTAGGTTATACCTTTGCCTTGCGCATTCCATTCCATCTCCTCCAACGTCGATGCAACACATGCACCAACACGATCAACAATGATATGATCCACTTCATATCATCACGTGATCATATTGGTTCATCGATCTTGACTTTACTTGCTCTTCACCGTTGCCATCGTCCATCGGCGCCAAGTCTTGCTCAAGCTTCACCACCACGCGGTCCATCACTCCAAAGCCTCTGACTTGCCCTTCACTCTTGCAACCGGTCCATCAAGCCAAGTCTTGTCTTGATCTTCTCCACCTTGATCACATGACTTAATGTCATGTCTCATGTGCAATAAACTTCTTCATCATCACATGTGTGAGCTTTGCAACATCTCTAAGCCATTTTCACCTTCATGGCATATGTTGCTCACACATATGTATATGTGGACTAATCACCTGTGTATCTCACATAAACACAATTAGTCCACCTCAGTTGTCACTCAATTACCTAAACCACACAAGGACCTTTCACCCACCCGCCTCGCACGTGCACCCTACCCCCCGCTCCTCCCCCTGACCCCCTCCTCTACCTCCAGCGTGGTATGGAGCTGCCCACTGCTTGCCCCACCCCTCCGCCGGTCCCTAGCTCTGCCCGCCCCATCCCCCGACGCCCTAGTCGTGCGCCCATCACTCATCGTGCCCCTGTGAAACACTTGTACCATGAAACACTTGGATGCAACATACGTCGGACACAGATGAAGCATTTGAAACATACTATTGCAACATATGTGTGAAAATATGCAACATCCAGATAAAACACTTGTAACATCTGTGTGAAACATATGCAACATCCAGATAAAATACTTGCAACATGTGTGTGAAACATATGCAACATACGTCTGAAACAGATAAAATATTTTTTTTCAAAACGCTTGCAACATACCACTGAAAACACTTGTAAAAATATGCACACATGTGCAACATCCATATGTAACAATTGCAATATATCTCTGAAACATCTGAAACGCTTGAAATATGCATTTGCAACATAGGGAAATGGAAGGCCGGAGCTGATCGATTCCGGTCGTCGTGGTGGGATCCGACGGGAGCAGCGGCATGCAAGCACCATCAGCACTGGGCACGCTCGTGGTTTCCATTGGCTCAGCCAAGGAAGACATGAGGTGCCATGGCACGTCAGCACCAAGCCGGCGGTCGATGGGGGAAGGGGACGACGAGGAGCGCGAGGTGAAGCAGTGAGCCATAGCGCATTGTGAGGGACGGATGAGCGGCCATATGAGGGTTTTTTTTTATTTCTAAGAGATCTAGGGCCGACTCCTGTGTTGGATCATTATCGTAATTGTATCAACTTCAGATTGCAGTCTATATGTCCTCTACTACACATGATTTTGCAAGGCGGTGTCCTTTTATTAACAGGAGGCGATCACAAAATTCAACCACCGTGGTTAATGACTGCGATTAACAAAGACGGGTACTTTTTTATTAACCAAGGTGGGCACTTTTGCCCACCTTAGAAAATCAATTTACGGAGGCGGACGTCTTAAGACAACCGCCTCCAAAAATAGACTATTTTCGGAGGCGGTCATCTTAAGGTCATAAATGTATTTTCGGAGGCGGACACAATATAAGGCCCGCCTCCAAAAATACTGGCCCAGCTCAGGCCCAGGCAAAGTCCATTGTAACGGGTCATATATAAACAAGGGCTTAGGGTTTTCTTCGGTCATTCTCTCCTCACACGCAGACAGCCATGGCGCCCATCACTCCTCTCTGTCTCCTTCCCTCTCGCAGTCTCACCCGCGGCCCGCCCTCCCTCTCCGTCTCCTTCCCTCTCGCGGCCTTGCCCGCCCCTCCCTCTCCGTCTCCTTCCTCCCACTCCCCCACAGGTGGTGGTGGTGGGGCTCCTTCCCTCTCCCTCTCCTCTTCATCTCCCCCACAAGCGGCGGTGCCTCTCTTCTCTTCATCTCCCCCACAGGTGGTGGTGGCCCTCCCTCTCCCTCTCCCTCGCAGGTGGCGGCGCTCTCCCTCTCCCCAAGCACGGATCTGGCCTTCCCCCACCACCGGCGAGCCAGAGCACCTCCACAACCGGTGGATCTCGGCGCCCCTCCCCCTTCTTCCCCACCACCGAGCATGGATCGAGTCGCGATGGCCCCTCGGTGATGGATCCGGTCGCGGCGAGGGCAGATCGGGCCGCCGCGGCGGGGGCGGATTGGATCGTGGTGGCGGCGGATCGAGACGCGGCTAGGGCAGATTGGGTCGTGGTGGCGGTGGATCTGCCCATCCACCTCCACCGATGGCGAAGGGAGGAGCGGCGGATTCGATGGTTGATCGAGCAACCCCGGCTGTGGTGGCGCGCGGGGCAGGGCCTTCTTCCCCAACGGCACTGGCGGAGGCTAGCGACGGCGGCGGCGGCGGCCCGTGGATGGGCTCGGCGGGCCTGTCCACGGTTTTTTTTTTTTTTTTTTTTTTGTGTTTTTTAGAGGCGGGCAAAGCAACCGCCGTCACAAATTAAGGATTAACCGTGACATTTGATTGGAGATGGTTCCAATAAATATTATGTAGTAGTTGTCGCGGCGCATTCCTTTTAATAAGGGACTTTATTCCTTAATTAGCATGATTCACCTTTAGGCTCCTTTTGGAAGGAAGGGGAGCAAAACCCATGGATAGAAAACCCCACACTAAGAATTAAGATAATATGATGTCCGGGATCCCAGAGGAATTGGAGTTTTTAAATTATGCCTTAATAATTAGGGGTACATGGATAATTTTAGTTGGGCACTAATCTATTCTAAAAATCTTATAGCATTCTTTTTGGAAAAAAAACTTGTGTAAGTTTTTTTTTATAGAGGGAATATCTTACTCGTGTCTTTTGTCCTCTCGTTCGAGGGTGAGGTTGTTCAGCCGCTGAGCCAGGGAAGTATTGCCAAATAATGTGACGACGAGGCGCCTACGACGTTGAAGCCAAACTCGGTTATGGCATGTACACGAACTCGGCTGCCGGTGGACGCATGGCACCACTTTAGCCATTTGCATGTGCGAACCAGCGAGCGTCAAACAATCTCAGCTAGTAGCTCTAGCTAGTCAATGTTCTCTCGACAATTTCCATGGAAACTGTTCAGCCTTCTCCAGCCATATGTCCCATAACCATCATGAATTTCCACCATGCACGCTCGGACGTGACAATCTCAGCGTGACATCTTCCAGTCCACCATCTTTGATTTTTTTTTCCACACATCCGATCCAAATGCGATTCTGCAGGTCATCCAGTCCGTCCGCCCCTGCTAAGAGAAGCAATTTCATGTTACAGTTATGACAGACCCAATTAGCCATTATATTTTTACGGGAATTCTGCATACTTTTTGGGTATTTATCCCACCCTAGAACCTAGTAACGGGTCTAGCATGCTATTAGTGAGGCAACTTTGCTAGTTGCCTGGTTTACAAGTTGTTCTGCATCTGGAGAGATGTAGCCAAGTCAAATCCTCGGCTTGGCCACAAATCATTCATTCATGTCTGCAACTAATCACCTATTGTACCTTGTGCAAATTCAAATAGTCATAAGCAAATAGATTCAAATTAAACCCACTTTCATAGCATGCTATTTTTTCTTTGAAAACCCAACGACAAAAACATGCCTGGCATATATTAATAAAGTACAAGTTTTTATAAAAAATAAATAAACAAAAAACTCAACAAGACAACATGCGCATGAAGAAGGCAACAACAAAACTACCACCAGAAGAAACACGGGAAAATGCTTTTATTATGGTGATATAGAAATATAATCACATGAGTATTTTTTAGCTATATTATTTCTCCAGTTGAGCACTCCGAGAGATGTAGGCATTTTTTTCTCCGATCGCTGTGGCTGAAGCCACGAGAGTGACTCCTTCGTGACTCGAACTCTGACCACCCGGGAGAGGTACTGAGCCTGCACAGGAAGGAGGCAACAACAAAACTATCATCACAATAAACACAAATGAATGCTTTATTATGGTGGTGTAGAAATATAATCACGAGTAATTTTTAGCTTTATTATTTCTTTTAAGCTGAGCACGCTGAGAGATGTAGCCATGCATGTAGCTAAGTCCAAGCGTCCAATTCTCGTCCAAAGATCACTACCGACAACTAATCACCTTGCTTGTTCTGTAAATGTACGAATTCAAATGCTAAGTGCTAAAAGTCGTAAGCGATTCAGTCCATAAAATCCAATTTTAGTATGAGCCGCTATCATCATGTAAAGAAACAACTTTAGAATATAATGCTTCATTATGGTGAGTTGGTGACATAGAAATCACACGTGCTTATTGGCTTTATTATTTTTGCTCCAGTTGAGCCCACTGGCTACACAACCTCGATCGGTCCTTTATTTCTTCGTCGCATCCGCATTACTCCCGGACCCTGTTCATCTTCAGCCTCACGGGCAGAAGACGACCTTGTAGTTGGTTCCGGCGGGGCAGGTGAAGGTGCTGGTGGCGTCATCCTTGGGGTAGCTGTACGCGTCGGGACACTGCCCCTTGAAGTACCTCGAGTAGTTGGTCGGCCCGCAGTTGTTGGCCGCCGAGCCGACGCAGCAGTAGACGTCCTTCTTGAACACGGGGCACGCGTTGTTGCACACCCCGTCCTGCCTCAGCTCGGCGGGGCACCGCGCGTTCACGTCCACGGCGCACCGGGGCCCGCGGCTGCACCCGGACCCGCCGTCGGGGAGGAAGCTCATGGGCACGTTGAAGCCGTCGATGAGGGAGATGTCGAAGAAGTCGAGGTTGTTGAACTGGTTCAGCGCGTACTCCGCCAGCGTGTTGGGGGCGCGCCCGTACCCCGTGCACTGCAGCACCCCGCCGCAGTCGCCCGTGCGGCAGCTCCCGCGCCCGCTCGCGTCGAACTGGCACCCCGTGCGCGCCCAGATACGCGCCGCCGTCGTGCCCGCGGGGGCCGTGATCCGCCACGTCTCGCCGCGGTTCAGCTGCCGCCCGCCGCCCACCGGCACGGACGCGGCCCACACGGTGAAGGAGCACTGATTCACCACCGTGAAGACAGCCGCCTCTCCGGCCACGGCGAGGAGGGCCAGGGCGGCGAGGAAGCTGCCGACGAGCGTCACGGATGGTGCCATTTTGTTGGCGAATGCAGAACGTACACAGAACGAAGTGTGGCTGTGTGGAGTGCTTTGGGTACCGGTGCGAGCACATGGCTTTATAGTGGATACTGGATAGACTGGATGACCTGCATAATCGGATTGGGATCAGATCAGATGTGGAAAAAAATCAAAGATGGTGGACTGGAAAATGTCACGCTGAGGTTGTTCACGTTTGTACGTGCATGTGCATCGTGGGTGGATATTAATGGGCTGGAGAAGTTTGAACAGTTTCCATGGAAATTCTCGAGAAGATTGACTAGCTAGCGCTAGCTGAGATTTTTTAATGGGAGAGAGTGCAACTGATGTCTTCATTTGCGTTACATTGCCTAACTACTTGTCTTGTGCGCGTCGCACCATGTCTTCATTTGCGTTACATTGCCTAACTACTTGTCTTGTGCGCGTCGCACCATGTCGCTTTCTTGTGCAGTTGCGCCCACCACTACCCCAGCCATGCTAGGAGTGAGAAAGGTGGCAGCAAGGAAGAGTAGGGAGAAATGATGAGGGCAGCAAAGGAGATAGGAGAGTGAAAGGAAAATAATGTATTGCGATTTTACTTATGTGCTGTAATTTCTTAATGTTCGCTAGCTGAGATTTTTTGACGCTCGCACATGCAAATGGCTAAAGTGGTGCCACTGCCATGCGTCCACGCTCCACACGGACTAGTGCCGAGAGTTCATACGCGGTTCTTGGTACTTGCCATGACCGAATAATTTGGCTTCAATCAGAGAAGAAAGAAAGAGAGAAACGTCATAGGCGCCTAGTCGTCACATTTGGCATGCTTCCCTGGTTCAGCGGCTGAACAACCTCACGCTGCAACGAGAAAACAAAAGACCAGAATAAGATAAGTGCCGTACTCCCTCATTCCTAAAAAAAATATGTAATTCTATGTAAAAAAAATGTAATTCTCAGTTCTAAAATTTTAGATAATTTTAAATTTCATACCAAGTAAATATCATTAAATTATTTATAAAATATATTTTTATAATAAATCTATTTAGAGACATAGGTACGATACTTCCTGCGTCCTAAAGAACTTGACGTTCTAGGATTTCTCAAATAGGTTAGTGAAGAAAAGAAATGACTCTAGTACCCATGTTTTATTACAAGAGATTTTCATTAAAAGGATGAATGTCACGGTTTCCAATTAAAGTGTGTTGCATAGAGGCATGCAAAGAAAGTGCATGTCCAATACCCATAACATCAAAAATTTTAGGACATTTTTTGAATTCACAGAACATCAAGTTTTTTTGGGATGGAGGGATTGTTATTTTCTATAAACTTTATCAAACTTAAAAATGTTTCACTTATCTCAACTCTAGCATTGCATTCTTTTAGGGATACCGAGAGTATACAAGCTTCGCCAACACAAACAGTTTAGGCTGTGTTCGGCTGGCTTGTTTCCAGCCAGCTGGCTTATTTTTTCTCTCACAGAATCACTGTTCACGTCCTGCCAGAACAGTATTTTTCTCTCACAACAATCAGCCGAAACAGTATTTTTCAGTCCTGCCGAACAGGCCCTTAGTCCACATGCTCCACATGTGCTAAGACACGCAGATCCATTTCTTATAAGTGTAAAGGTTTTTGTGAGCAACTTCAGTGGACCTCTAAACGCTTCTCCAATGATCCACTCTGACTGAGTTCTAGCTTGTATGTTTGCATCTTCCATCCACCTCAGTTCTAGTAATGGTTCCATAAGATGTCAGAGTACCCTGCAGAGGGAGACGCGAGCTTGGTTGACAAAAGATATATGCCACAGTTTAGGAATGCAAGGAGCAACTGAGCAAAAACAAGATAGGGTAAAGAGAGAGGGAAAAGAATGAAGAGGCGTTTCCATGTAGAAAGAAAAAGTGGTGGGGGCAAGCTAAAAAATAGCCTCACGTCCTTTATACCTACGTGACAGATGAGACCACCAACAATAAGGTAATGACGGCCTGTGTTGCTTATGCCCTAACTTGATATGTACCCTCTTTTTAAGGGGAAAACGAGCTCCAACCCAGGTCCTGTTTGGGTCTTTGATGGATGAGAGGGCCTTAATAATCCTCTCTCGCTCTTCGATCCCAAATTGCCAAATGTAAGAGCAGCTATAATACAAATTATAAAATCAGTACTTCAGATAGCATATCATAATTCACAAACCAATACTTTGATTTTTCACTTCTACTACAATGGGCAAGCGCGTCATTGTTGGGACCTACTTTACATTACAATACATAAATACACAGGATATTGTTTTTCTGGTGCTGAGACACGGAAAACAAACAAGAAGATTATTTTTTATTGATTATGCATCAATGCAGCTACAAGCACAAAAAGCCAGCGTTTTTCTTCTATAGGCATCGCTGCCTATAACATACAAGACCATGCCTGAACTTTCTCTTACATATTGTAGCATCAGATTTCGCAACATTGGTGCTCCGAGCCCTCGTCCTCGGATTGGAGCAACCGTGAGGCTTTTTGTATTTGCATGGTCTCTTTTGTACCGCCTTTTTAATGGGAGAGAGTGCAACTGATAGATTCATTTGCGTTACATTGCCTAACTACTTGTCTTGTGCGCGTCGCACCATGTCGCTTTCTTGTGCAGTTGCGCCCACCACTACCCCAGCCATGCTAGGAGTGAGAAAGGTGGCAGCAAGGAAGAGTAGGGAGAAATGTGAGGGAGAAATGATGAGGGCAGCAAAGGAGACAGGAGAGTGAAAGAAAAATAATGTATTGCGATTTTACTTATGTGTTGTAATTTCTTAATGTTCTCTACTATTATATTACATTGAGAAATAATTGTTGAAAATATAGCACTTTTGAAACAATATTGTTTAAATATAAAATTGTTAACTTGTTAATTAGTTACAAGCTATGTATAAATAGAAGTGAATAGAATGTAGAGATACAAATATGATGGTTCAATTAGAGTGTACTGAGAACTGAGAATAGTGATTGCAACCTAGACTAGAAGCTATATTTGGATGGATATATGGGTTCAAAAACTAAAGATTCCATTAGAGTACCTTTAATAAGATGTATGCCTAACGTAATAATAGCAATGAAATCTAATGGAACCAGTACCACAAGAAAGGAAACCTAATTCGAGGTCAACAATACCAAATAGACAAAACTATCGATGTGCACCATTTTCAGCGACATTTTTATTAGATATACTTTGCTTAAAAGTTGAGTTGTTTTTTCAAAAATATTTTGCACCCCGAGAAATGGGACACCCATTTATAGATCACGGAACTTCTAGGCAAGTTTTTAAGAGCTTTTCAATGACTGTACCGAGAAGATGGTTTCCGAAGAACATTTTCTCCTAATCCAAGCCAAGTCATCTTCAACATTGTCATCGTGAACGAAACCTAACAGAACGCCAATGAAAAGACAACCCTCACGTCTAAATTGCAAAAAAATCCATTGTTTGCTAATTAGTTGGTGCTTCACTATTATTAGTACTCCTTCCATATCTGAATAAATCAATTTTTAGAGTTGTCTTAACTCAATCTTTATATGTTTGACCGAGTTTATAGAAAAAAAGTATAAATATTTGTAATACCTAGCGACACTAATAGATTACACAGTGAAGACAAAATACATCATAACAAACTCTACGAATTATCTCGCTAGTTTAATATGTTTTATATTTTATATGCTATATGACAATTCTTAGATGCAAGGACACGCTATTATGCAAATATGCAAAAATATGCACATAACTCAGAGATATACCGAGGCAGCAAAGGAAATCAGAAATACGGAGTAGCACTGTAGCAGTAGCACCATTTTTTGCGCTGTCCGCAGCGCCGCACCGCATTTAGCAGCCACAGGATAACACACCTACGGCTCTCATCACCCGCCTCACTCCCTTCTCAGCTTGCCTTTTCGCGTCGACGTCACCAATGGCGACGGGTGGCTAAAAAGAAACAGAGTCCAAGCCCGGCTCCCCGGCCCCTTCCCACCATGGCTCCACTGGCCTCCCCTCCGCTCCCATTCCGCACTCCCGTCACCGCCCCTCGCTTCCTCGCCGCCCCCGCCATCCGCTCGTTCAGCCCGTCGCGGTCCGCGTCGCCACTCATCTCCTCCGCTTCCGCAGGTCGCTTCCCTCACGCTCCTCGCGCTCCCTGTAGTGCCGCCCGCGAGCACCGCCGCGACACCGTGCGGGTAAGTCCCGCTAATAGCCTGATCCCCGTCTCTAGTGCAATGCCTCCCTGCTGTTGCTTGCGGTGCTTTTCCGATTTTGGCTGCAGCAATCGTGCCAATCAAACTGTTCTCTAGCGTTGTTGCCAATGTCATTGTTCCACACCAGTAAATTTAACTGTTCAAGTAGAGTGTGCTGCTTGCTCTTCTAGGGAGGGCAAGGATAAATAAATTGCGATACCTGTTAAGAGCATGCACTAACCGTTGTCAGATACGGTACATAGTTACATTTACATACATCCCACGACTTTCTTATTCTGCATTTGTGCTTGGAGGGGCACACTATAGCACTGCTATTTCTGAACGTGCGATTCATGTTTGCATTTTTAAAGGTTACTGTACATATTATTAGTGAAGTTGGTGGGTGTTCAACTATTCATAGACTAGGGGTCTGAATGTATATTGCTATCTGCTTGAATTTTTTGCTTCCTTGTAAATTTAATTGCGCTTTCTTTTAGCAATTTTCTAGATTAGACACACTTGCAAAGTGTAAACATGGATGCCAATTAATTTGTTTAGTTTCTTGGATAGTGTAAATATGGATGCCCGTCAATTACATCAGTCAGCCATTTGATTACCTAGTTATCCTAATTATCATCAAAGCTCCACATAAATGAATGTCAATCAAAGTATGAAGGATATGACTACCTTTGGACCGTACTGCCTTACTAATGACATTACTCATGAGAATTATGAATGAATGAGCTCGTCATTGCTTTACTCAGGGCATCCCTAACTAAACTATGCACATCTTTTTGTATGGTATGACAATATTGATTTTACTGGGCCTCTTG